CTCCTCCCTAGACACCATGCACTTGGGTTTGAGGCAGGGCCTGCCGTCTTTGTGGCTGCTGGGGGCTTCCTGTTCCTCCTCTTCTTGCCTAGCAGCAGGCCCAGGTTGTTGGGACGGGGCCTGTGCTGAGCAGTGGGCCAGGCAGGGTCAAAGGGAGGCTGTGTTGCAGGGCTGACTGTGGTTCCAAAACAGGCTAGGCAGCCTCCTAAGTCTGCAGAGCTGCCTCTGGCAAAATGTTCTGTGAGCTGTTTACGCTGGGTTTTGTTTTTTTAAAATAAGACCTAGAGTCATCCCAATTCTGCCATTCCAAGGAAAGGGAAGGGGAACGTTCAAGTTTTGCACATGCCCTTTGAGGAACTCGGCAGCTGTCTACCGAGAGGAGGCACTGCCTCTGGTTCCAGGGAACCTGACTCTGAGCAGGTGTGGAAGGTGGGCTTGGACATCTGCCCTCAGTGTCCCCACAGCTGTGTTTCCCCAGTCAAGCTGTTTCTCAGCTCTGTCTGGTGTAGGACACAGAGAAGGTGCCTGAGGACTGCTGAAGTAACTTGGTGTTGCTGTTGACTGCTTGAAGGATGGGGGGACAGCCGCCCAGCAGTTCTTGGCTCGTACCCAGTGTCATCTGGAGAGGGCCAGTTTCCTTGGAAGGTGCTTTACTGCTCACTCTGTAGCTTTCAGCACCCCCTTCTTGCCTCAACCCTCAGACCTTACTTTTTACTGGCTTCTCTTTTTTTCCTTCATCCCCGGAGTCTTTACTCTGAAGTCCTGTCGGCACTCATTTGCCCCTTCTTCGCCCTTGATCAAGTGCTGATTGCTCCAGACCCCGCCCACCCGATGCACTGCTTGTCTAAAAGAAAAGATTTTTTCATTGTGAAAGTCAACAGAAGAGTCCTGGATGCTGTTACAAACTCAAGATGTACCCTCCAGGTGACCCTGCCAGAGCGACAGTACTTGTGTTTGAGAAAAAATAAAAACAAAGGGGTCCCCTGTTCTCCAGATCCTTTCTCTACCCTGTATTTTCTACCCCCCCCCAATAAAAACAGAAAACACTAGAATTTATTTATATGTATTGATGTTGTAGGTTTAGGTAAAGAAAGTAAATGTTTCACTGCTCTATTTATATATAATGTCTGACTTACTCTGCAGAAAAGGCCAGGAAATTGCATGTGAAGTTCAGTGCTTACACCTCGTGTGCCCAGCTGCAGGCTCTTCCCACTGGAACTCTGGGGGCAGAGGGTAGGCCTGGGTCTGCCCAACACCCCTCCCTTCCTCAGTCTGATTAAATGCAGTCTTCACTGCAGCAATGTTTAAGGTGCAATCTTCCTTTCATGTGGTTTTAGAGCCAAGCTCGAGGTAGTAGGACTTTCGGTCTTATTTTGGTTTCAACCTCCCCTTCCCCCCCCTTCAGAATGCAAATCCATGCAGAGGCCTCTGCCCGGATGGCTTGGGGCCTTTGGCAGGAACAGATGAAAACCCAAACTTACCTTCTCTGCTGCTGAGATGGGGGTGGTGTCAGATCCCTCTCATGCACCTTTGCCTGCTAAAGCCGCCCTTCCTCCTGATGCTGGCAGCTTTGCCCTGGCCATCGATGGTGCAGCCCACCACTCGCCACCCAGGGGCCGTGATATAGTGTCAGTCCAGTGTCAACCACTCAGTGGAGTGAAATCCCAGCATGTGGGGTCGATTGTCTGAGAGGCATCGTCCACCCACTGGAGATTTCTCTGCCAGCTGTGTTTGGTCTGGTTTTCTTTACTGTTACTTCCCCTTTTTATCCACACTGTTGTTTTCAAACTTGGAATTCATACACTTCTGGCTTTAGGTTCCTTAAGAGGAAAAACAAAGCATGACTGTAACACATTCAGAAAAATTGTTCCGGCAACTTCTAGGAATACCTTGTTAAATACTGGCATCCGTTCTCTCCAGCTGTGCCCTCGCCCTTCTGTCTTCTTGATCTGCCTCCTGGATGGTTGGTGAGGTTTGACTGATGCTCAGAACCAAGGAGGCGGAGGGCGTGCATGTGCGTGTTCTGAACTGGCCCACCGTGGGGCACTGGTACAGCTCCTCCCTGCCCATCGGCTCCCCTCCACCAAGCAGCTGCACGTTGCCTCACCTGCACTTGTCCTTTTTCACCTGCAGAGCAAGCCTGGGTTGGAAGGTCTGTTGGAAATGGCCTTCGGCAACCGAGGATACTCAAGTGTTTGTGCTTTGTCGTGTTCTGTGATGAGTGGGAAATGGAGACGTCAGAAAGCCAGCCCTTCCTGTTTCAAGACGTGAGACGGACCTAAGACAAATAGATCACCCAGGACAGGAATGGCTCAGTGTTGGGGTCAGACACTGTCCCCCAGCCGCGCTCTCCACCTGACCACCAGCGTGTATTTGGGTAATGATCTTCCAGGCGCACCCAACCTGCTGCTCACTGTTTCTCCACCCGTGTTGGGTGGCCTCCAGGATGGTAGCAGCGTCCCCAGGGCCCTGCCTTCAGCATGTTACAAAGCCTCCAAGTGGAAATTTCTAGGAAGGCTCTGTGTGGATGACTTTCTTCCATTGTTTAAAAGGGGATACTGTACTGTAAGCTTTGGGCCTCATGCCTTGCATAGTAAAAAGGGTTTGGGATTTTTTTGTTCTCGAGAGGGCTTTGTTTCCTTTGTTTTTATTTTGGCCTTTCCTCTCTTTGTCTTTTCATGTAGACCAGATATTTGAAAGGGCAGACGATGGCTAAAGGTGTCATGTGCAGCTTGTTTATATGTTATTTTTGGGAAGCTTTTACTGGGATGGGAATTGGAATCATGGGTTCACCAGGCCATGGTGGCACACTCACCCTTCGCCCTTTCCCTCCGGTCCAGTACCTATTGTTTCTCCTTTCAAATATGTGATTGTACTAACTCTTTCCATATGAAAGAATTCTCCTTATTTAAATAAAAAAAAAAAAGTAAAAAAAACCCCTAAAGCTGAACATGCGTTCTCTTAAGAGTTTTCGTGCTAATTAGGAGGGACTTGGCTGAAGTGCCTAAAAGCAGTATGGGGGAGAGAAGATACTGAAGCCTGTGGGAAGGGGTCTTTTCCAAAGGGGTCAGCATTAGCAGTCCCCACCCTTAGCCCAGGATGGCCTTGGGTGTAGTAACACCTGCCTGCCCTCTCCCCTCCCCCTCGTCCTGGGAGGGGGTGTGGGTCAGAGGTGGTACCTGCTCAGCTCTGCTGCTGCGTCCAGTGTCCCTTTTCTTTTGCTGGAAGTAAAGGAGGATTGTACTGCACTCTGGTGTAGGAAAGAGGAAGGGCCGAGGGTCAGGGACAGAGAAGGGTCAAGGGCCTGGATTTGGGTTCAGGCGGTGGTTCTCCGTTCTGCCGTCTCCCGGCTGTGTGACCAGAAGAGACAGTATCAGCCACTATTTCCTTAACTGTAAAACGTGGACTCCTAACAGTACAACCGAGTGGGGTAGTGTGGGTTCAGAGGTCACGGGAAGCACTGAGCACAGCGCCTGGCACCAGGTACAAATACAGGCAGCTTATCAATGGTTCCCAAGTAAGTTGGACACGGTCTCCGCGAGGAAACCCTGCTCCTAGGCAGATTCCTTATGAGTCTTCTGCCTAAGGAACAACGGGACCTGGGCCTGGGGATCNAGTCCACTGCTCCCTGGACTCGGGTTCACACAACTGCCCGAGGAGCCCGAGGGAGGCCGGGCCGAGCCCAGCCCCGCTCCTCCCGGGCCCGGGGAGCCCTCGCCGCCGGGCGAGTCCGGGTAAGTCACCTAGTGCCGGGGCGGGGTGGCC